GCTTTTTTTTCTTTTTTTTTTTTTCTTACATATATCAATAAGAATTATAAAGGTGCCTGCTTTTTTTGGCAGTTACTGCTTAGCTACCTTGGAGTGAGAATGCTACATACTACCCTGGCTCTGACCAGGTTAAGGATGAATTCTTTTCTCACCTTCCACTGCATATGAGCCTTTTAACCTTTTTTTTTGAAGATTTCCTGAAGCTGAAAAAATAACTCAAAGGCAAAGAACAGACTGAAGGAAGAGAAAGCTTCCCACAGTGTCAGTGACTTGGATCGCAAGGTCTATGCTGGGGTAGTTTTTTAGAAGACAGCTGAGATATGAAGTCCAGCAGCACAATAAAGAACTAGGAAGAAACAATTCCGCCTGTTCTATTACACTTCACATGAACTGGAATCAATGAGTTGAGCAAGTTGATTGACTCCTACACAAAGTCATAGACACCCAGGACTCGGACCTGAATGCACATTCTGATGGATTCATCCAGCTCTGCTATCCCAGCATGGAGGGAAAATGGCCTTGGGCCTGGCAACAATACCATCACATAGAAAGTGTCAATTTATACTGTGAAGTAAAAACAGATAGAAATCTCACTATATTTCCCTGCCCCGTCATGACAGTAGAGGGCAAAAGATGTATTTGAATACTTCACTATCAAGATAAACCAAAAAACAGAGAACTCTATCACCTTTTCAGGTAATGTGTTTTAGTCCTCAGAGTTCACACAACCACATCAACCTTGGGTAACATATCTCTGGTATGCACGGATGTGGATTAATTGTTGGAATTCAATGCCAGGTTACTTGGGAAGTATCTCTAGTGTTATTTGTACTTGTAGATTTTTTGCAAATTTAAAATCCACTAACCTTTACAGGATCTACATAAGAGGTCACAGTTAAAAGATCTTTCTCCCGCTATACTACAAATTGCACTCAAGTTACATAAACAGGCCTAGAGATCTCCACACATCCAAATTATTCCATAATGATAACAAAGATGACAAAAGTAATGTTTTCACTAACTACTCCCAAATATTTGGGTCTCAGAAAGCCAAGGCGGATTCTTATTAAAAAGATAAGATATTAATTTATGAATTTTATCATTTAAGATAGTTTCATTTTTTAAATAACAGTAGTGTTTCACTGATACAAGTGAAACTACCTCCTCTATCATAAAAAAAATGTGTAAATCAGCCTACAACAGAGAGTATGCAGTTAAAATATTAGAGGCTTAAAGCATGTCAAAGCACTATTCTTTTATTTGAATTCATATAAATACGGAGTACTACATGACTTATTCTGCATTATCTGTAAAGCTACAAGAAGTGTTTTAGAAGCTTGTTTAACAGCTGCTCTATTCATAAGCTGACAATTCCTGCAAAACAGCAATGTTTGGATTCTCCAGAAGATTCTTTTTGATTTTTGTTAAGTCACCTGTAGGTCCAACTTTAAATGTAGCATACACATAAATCAATAAATTAAAAAAAATAATAATAAAGCTAAACAACAGCCTCTCATCTCTGGGGCCCCCCTCACTTCTCTTGACAATTCCTTCACTGTTTTCTCCTCATTCAGTGCCAGGACTGAAAAAGGGGATTTGAAGGAAGAGAAGTAGTAAACAACAGAACTGATTGTACTCTGAGGTGAACAGCAGGTCAACTTACTATTTTCCCTATGAGAGTAACTTGAAAATCTAAAAAGAAAAAAAAAAAAACAACCAACAAAACAAAACAAAACAACCCCACCAACAACACAACCAACAAAAAAGTGGCAAAAAATATATCCCACACCTTTTAAACCAAGGCTTGAAGGGTAAGATGCTTCAACAATCTGATAGATGAATGGGCAGGGCAAAGCAACGCAAAGAAGCCAAACATTCTAATTTAAAATGTTCTGCCCATAGACTGAAGTCCCATGATCACAAGTAGGAAAACTTTGTGGGTGGGAGATATTATGGTACTTCTGCTCAACATCTTAAAAGAATTCAAGATCACAGCAACAAAGATGAAAAGGTCAGACTAAACTCATTGCTCACACTGTGCATTAAAAATGTGCAAGCGTATGACAAACTGCTTGATGAACACAAATGGCAGAAGACTGAACGGTGGCCTCCCCACAGTTAGCATGAGTTTACAGACAATTTTAAACACAAAATAATTCTGACTTTTTAAAATAAATATTTGAAGGTGCCAGCTGAGACTGAAGAAGCCTGAGACAGATTTTTTTTTGCCTTACACTTTGTACATGGTTGGAGGAGGATTCTGTTCTCATTCATGCCAACACACTCCTGATTTTCTTTCAAGGTGGGGCTCATCTTCGATGTCTGCAAGAGGAAGTGTGAGCTTGCAGCTGACAGATATATTAGTAGGATAGGCACTGGTGGACTAGAAAGGACATCAAGTAGGCCATAGTGTCCCATCTCTTTGTACCACAGAACAATATGCTTAATTTTGCTAAACCTGGGCTTTCCAAGACTAATACTTGTGAAACACAGAAATATCACCTTGCAGCTAGCACTCAGACTGCCTGTGAATTCATTTCTAAAGATCCTCTATATTAGGTAAAATCCAGTCATGTGAACTTTGCAAAAACAAAAATTATACATTCACAGTCACAAATAATGGCTTAATCCCCTAGCCTAATACAGCTTAAATCTCTCTCATTATTAGAGAGATGATTATTCAAATAATTATTTAGGGCACATTCTGAAGTCTAGTGATAGTTGTGGAATGGTCTGACATCTCCGCAATTAAAAATAATCTGGCATCTTAAACTTGTCTTTTACTAGAACAGTTAAAAAGCTAATCCACAAAGCAAGCATAAAAAGCAAATAGCAGCATTCACATCATGCTCAATCAAGTCTATCCCCTATGATGACAGAGTTTGCAAGAAGGCCATGTAAGAACAGTACATGTAATAAATATGAGTTTGTCTTTCCAAAAAGAAGTCACAGACTTCTGTGTCTGAGTCTTTTGAAGTGGCAGAGAAACATACCAAACTGCAGAGGATAACCTGGCAAACACGTAAAGGCCAAATGAATGCAAGGACTCAGTCCATAGCTACAGAAACTTTCCACTTTTATTCAACATTAATTTGTAGCAAACTAAGCATGTTTTTTTCCGTCTTAAAGTAGAATTATGCACAGATCCGGGCATTTAGCTGAATATAACCATTTCCTACAAGAAATACCAATAAGCACAGTTCAACAGCTCTTACATTGCTACTTAAGTGTGGGAGCTTTTACAATTCACACTGCTTTTATAAAGCCTTTATTATTCTCATAAACATCTAACGTTTTTAGGACAAGTTTTCATATGTTAGATTCTGATTTTAAAGAAGACAAATTTTGAGCCTGAAACAGCTTGACAATGTCCTTTCAGCTTGCTCATTAGATTAACCTTCTGTCACACATCAAATGAACAGCTTCCTTGGTTCCTTGCCTAATCTAACACGTAACCCACGAAATTCCCTTCTAAAGCATGATCAGAAACAAAAACAAAAGCCACTGTAAACATTTCATTTCTTTCTAACGCTACATTCAGTTTGAAATTTTCATTTCTGCCTCTCAGAAAGATCACCCTTTTAGCAAACCATTTACAGTGAAGGACTGATTTCAGATAGGATTAAAACAACATATTAGACACATACAAACCAAGAGGTCTGATTTGCTTACAGAAGTAATAACGTGTTACGGGTCCTTTCACATCTAGGTCACTGGTTCAAACTCAGCTTAAGTTAGTGATGAGTGAAAAGGAAGAATGAGGTAAGAACACAGTCATGAATCTGGCGTCTATTTCTGACTGCAACATATTTGCTTTGTGTGCATGGACTACTCACCTAACTACTCTTTTCTTGCAAAATAGAAATAAATATTATGGATGTCAGACCAACCCTGGGAGACAATCAGGCAATGTGTAACATATTTGTGCCAAGAAAGAAATCATACAGTTGAAAAAATGATGCCTTTCCCTTCCAAATCTAGTTACCAAATTTCAACTCTCTGACAGAAATTGAGAGATGCTTTATCAATGGATGGAGCCAACAAAATCCACAAGCGCAATTTCAAAATTATTTAATGAGCTGTGTTTTGCCCAGGCTCCTATTGACAAAATTATGAAGAGAACACATCAGTCAGTGTCAAAGCATTACAGTGGAGTTATCTGCTGCTCTTTGATGTTCCGTTTAATATATCTTCAATGTCTTTCTCTCATCTACTGAGCTGCAGAAATAATGGCAGCTTTTACCACTGCCACCAAGCTTTCTGACATTAAGTCAGACAAGCTTGACAGGGCTGCTGTGATCAGCCAGAACAAAGATAAGCTGACCAGAGCCACCGGGAAGCTCAATGAAGAGAGAAAATGAGGAAATAAATAACCATATTATATGACGTAGAATTTCAACATTCAATTACCACGCTTTTGCAAGAAAGGTGAGCATTGCTTATCATCACACATTTAGGCCTACAGTTGAACATAACTCTAAGTAACAAGCTTCTCTGTATCAGTCCCTAATTGAGGGCACTCTGGCTACTCCAGTGGGAAGAGTTGAAATTACGGCATTACATTACATGAAGATGTAAAGCAGTACATGGTATCACACAAAAAGCTTTTACTACATTCACACAGTATTGAGACGTGCAGTTTGAGGCACTGGGTTTGAAAAACTGGACAAGCATAATAGAAGTGACAGGAATGAGCATTTGCTGTCCTTCCTTTGCATCCAGTTATTTCTCTTTGGAGAAATGAACACAGCTTGAAAATTTGTTCCAGGTCCCTAGGAAAGGGTCAGTTAATAGTTGTTTTGTTTCATGGGGTTTTTTTTGTTTGCTTTGTTTTTTTTTTTTTTTTCAAAGCAATTGAAAAATAACTTGTTCCCTTTATTTTATGTTAGGCTTGATAACCTGACTCTCACAGACCTCTATACATCATACTGAAGACTGCAAGTTACAATATGGATTTGTGTCACTATAGACTTTCAATTCTAATAGGAGCAATCTCTTACCTTCAGACAGGGACAACTCATAAGCTGGAGACACTAGGTCTACTGGGATTGCAAGGCCATTGCTCAACGATGTGGTAATCTGATTCGTCAAGATAACCTGCAAACAGACAAGCGGAGATAGGAAGGGAAATTAATCTTTATAGATCTAGGAAGGCAGAGAGCAGCCCAGGAAGGACTGGAATACTTCAGGCACAGGTGCAGCGTTCAGACAATTCCCTACTCTGACCCTCACCAGTTTTGGACCTCTATGTGGCTGCAGTTTCTGCATTAACAACTGGTCTTTGCTTAGATCATCGATAGAAGTTATAGAGAATATAGTATATAGGGTTTTTTGTTGTAAAGAATCAAGATGATCCTCATACTTGCATCAAAAACAGTCTCCACTCTTGACAAACTCTCTGTGAAACAGCCTGTTTTCAGTTGGACAGGAGAAAAGGAAACTGGAATCCTTGTCTTAGACAGAGTGCCTTTTCTTCATTGTGTCTGGTATGATGCTATATTTTGGTTTTAGGAGAAAAACAGTGTTGGTAACACACTGATGTTTTCAGTTGTTGCTGTACAGAGCCAACTGTATTTTAATTTTCTACTGCCCTACCAACAAAAGGGGGCAAAAGTTGCTGGGAGGAGGCAGAATAAGGAGATTTGACTTAAACTGGCCGGAGAGATATTCCATACCATATGACATCCCACGGAAGGAAAGTTTTGAAAGGAGTGGGAGTTTATCTTTTTCCCTTCTGCTGCTCAGGGACTAGTTGGACATCAGTCAGCAGACAGTGGATCACTTGTTATAAATAGTTATCTCTATATAGTCATAACTAGTATCCTTTTCATTCTATCTATCTTAGTAAACAGCTACATCTCAACCCAGAGGTTCTACTTTGTTTTTCAATTATGCCTCCCATTCCATTGGGATGGGGAAGGTGAGTGAACAACTGTGTGCTGCTGAGCCACCTGCCAGGTTAAACCACAACAATCCTACGTGCTACTGGATGTGGTTTCATGATGCTACTGAAATAATTTCATAGCTTGATACTGCTAAAAGGAAGACAAATTTCTCTCCTCTTTCCTCCATTGCACTTCCCTCCCTCTGATCCTCCTGCTTTCTAACACTAAGTAGCATGACATAACATTATTTTCCCTTTCTAATGATCCCACGTAAGCTCTTGTCAGATCACAGTCATAGCCACAGTGGTGGCATTGCATCCTTGCCAGCCAGCACAACGTGAACTACCAAAGATGTGATGGAGTCTGCACAGCCTTTTGCAAGGCTGCCACTCTTCTTCCCCACCCATTTCAGCCCAACCATCTCTGTTTGGTAGCAGGCATGGTGTTGCCCAAGTGCTTTACAGACTGCATCAAGTCAAGACTAAATTAAAAAGCTTCTACATCAAGTCTTGATCTACTCAAAGGAGGTCAGGACCATCAGAGTCCCACAGTAATATCTATCGTGCTCTTCTGCCACAGACTGCAAGTTCTGCTGGAACTTCAGCTGGTTACTACCACCCTTCCCAGGCTAACCATAGGTTGCACCGTTGGGACAGGGCATTTATGACCACTGCAGTGAATGCACACATGGTGGGTAACAGCCTTATTTGGTCTGGCACCTAGGCTAAGTTTCTTAAGGTATATCTTGCAACACTGCCAAACACACAAGAAACTGGTTCAAGGCAAATGAAATAAGTGGGGAGCTAAGAGCAGGGAAAGATAAAGAATGGGACGCAGGCCTTATCCTTTTGAATAGATCACAGCTGCTCGTTTTCACCGTGTCACAAAATCTGAAGCCATAGGGGCTATTCTGGCAGCCAGGCATACAGTGCAATATCACATAGAACTGAAAGCTTTTCACAATAAGTACTAAGAAATGTGTTGAAACAGAGCACACTAACAAAAACCTCCATGCACATACATACTGGTAGGATAAAAAGCTTTTACTGGCACACTTTTGCATTATTCACAAGTGTCAAAAGCTCTGTAAGCAATGTAGTCATCCCAAACCTGTGCCAAGATAATCTTACACTGTACCATCATGTATTTTATTTATGTATCACATACTAAAGAAAAGCTACCATATTTAAAGCTCATTTTTAAAACAAGACACAAACTTAAACGGACTTTTTGTTGCTCTCCTTCAAAGAAAACTAATTCTAGACACTTGAAAAATCAAAAATAAATGAGAAATTCAGCTGCTTTTTTTTTTTTTTTTAATCTTTCAGAAGTTTTGGTTTCCTCTTCAGCTGGGATCTCCACAGCTCTGTTAACTGTAGGACTGTACATTTTTTCACCCTTTATGGTTAATTCTGGTTATACTTCTGAATTTACTTTTCAACTTCTGATGTGTCCTTCAATAAGCATTCAACACTAACAATATCCTAGACACCTGTTTAAAAAGTGACTTTAAAAAGGTGCAGTCCTAGCCAAGTAAATGCCCCTCTCTCGCTTGTTTTGAGGATGGGAATTAAGTGTAATCTTAGTTCCATGACTTCATTGATAGCTAAACACTGCTTAAACATACGTTTAAATACTATCTTGAAAATGAACACCCTCTGAGATGAAGCCATATGCATGTATAGAATGCTTATTTTGGAATTAACTAAAAATTATTATTAATTCCTGCAAGTTGGCAGACCCAGTAGAGACATTCAGCTCTCCTCTAAGTACAAATCAAGAAGCTGTTAGCTAAGCACTTAACGTGGCATTAAATTTCGTCACACTTCTGCAGCCTCATTTACTGCAAAATTCTTCCATCAGGTGCAGCTGTGCATTCCTGTATCATCAACCAATATTTATTTATGTACATACAACATAAAGCAGTTTGAATCTCACTCTGCAGGTGTGCACAGTGCTCCAAGCTCTCACTGACTCAAGAACAAACTGCAGGCTAAAAGGAGAAAAGCAGACCCCTATTCATCTCCATCTCTAAATTAAAAAAAAAGGTAGGACGCTCTAATTTAGAGAACTTCTCTGGATACATACATCTTCTAATAAAGGCTCATATCTCCAATGACAGAATCATTACTGGAAACTGCAAAGGTCTATTTAATTTTTCCTAGATTAAAAATTTCATCAATGATACTTCAGCATGCAAAGCTATATGTTTTCAGCACTCTCCAATCCTACAGACATTGTTTGAAGTCCTGAGCATTTATACCACAGGACTCTAGTATCGCATCTAAAGAATATGTTAACTTTTTCCCAAACTCTCCTTCACCAATCCAAAAGATATACTTTAATTCCATTATTTTGAAATGGATATATGAATATCATTTGAGATGGAAGAAAATATATTCAGAGAATTTTTAAAAAGTCTGGGTATGATGGAGAGAAAATATACAAATAGGCACAAGATATATGGAGCGCAAAAGCTGTGTGACTTCTTTGTGGGTACAGTTTTAAATTAAAGGAAGACTGATTTATATTAAACATAAAGAAGAAATTATTTGCTCATTGGGCAGGTGAAGCGCTGTCACAGCTGCCCAGAGAAGCTGTAGATGCCCCATCCCTTGAAGCACTCATGGCCAGGTTGGATGGGGCTCTGTGCAGCCTCAGCTGGTGAAAGGCAGCCCTGCCCACAGCACAGGGTTCTAACTGGAAGGTCTTTAAGGTCTCTTCCAACCCAAGCCATTCCACGATTACTTATATTTCAAAGAAGAACACTGAGTACTCAGTTCTGATCGTAATGTCTCCATATTTTACAAATAACTCATGTTAGACGAATGAAGGTTAAAATATTTCCTTCGGTCTGCTAGAGGCCACATTTGAAAGAAACCACCTCTCAATGCAAAACAGTGCCTGGAAACAGTCTGGGGTCACAAGTCCAAGCAGATTTACTAAAAAGAGTGTCTTACACTGAATGAACAGTAGCACTTCCTCAACTTTTCCTTGGAGATCTGCCATTGAAGTACAGATCAGATATACCCCGTTTAGTACAGGAGACTTGCCAAATCCATAGTCTAAGTAGGTAAGAAGGAGTTGCCTCTGTTGTGGTTCCTTTCCACAGACACTGGACATCATTACCAGCCAAGTAGAGCTCCCACTTGAGAGGCTCAATGCCGATCATGTGTTTGTTTTCTTCCAGGAGAATACTCAACAATGAGAAAGCTGCTACATAATGTTTTAATGTTATCACACTAAAATGCATAGTATTTTAATAGCAGCTTCTATTTCCTTTCAGCTTCAGTTAATGGAACAAAATATTTTTATTACCAGAGGTAGTTTCATTTCTTATGGTACTAACAGTCACCAAAATCATCATGTCTCTCTGCACACCACTGTGTCCTCCCATGTGCAACAATAAGGAGGTTTTGTTACTGCTTCCTATTACCCTGGCAACAAATGAAGAACATGGGACATCTTCAGCCCATGACTGTATATGAAAACAAAAATTCAGCTAGTTCGTTCAGTAATACTGGAAATTTGCTTCAGTTAGTCTCCAATGAAAGTCAATAAACCTTTTGACCCTTCAGTATATTCACCTGCAGCTGGTGAAATGAATAAAGAGAAACACAAAGAGATAGAGAGAATGCATTTTCAAGTTCCTAATTTTAGACAGCTTACAAAAATGCCTGCTTCTCTGATTATCTCCCTCATCTCTATAGGAAAGGAAATGAGAAATTCTCTAGGAAAGTAGTGTTGCTGTTCTAAGACAGGTCATTGCTAATTCTAAGATAAATCCATGGTGAAAATAACATCTCCCTCCGGTGGTGTGATTTCAGCACAATGCCAATTTCAATGTCAATTTTCTGGAAATACAATAGAAAAATAAAAACACTTATTTAAGGTACGTGAGCTCCAGCACCAATATTTGTTGGGAATAGTGTAATTCCTGCATATGCTGTAAACTTCTGCGGGTCCTGGGATAGAGCTGGCCTAGGAATTGAAATATGATTGCTTAACATGGAAGAATAAGCAAACTATTTTCTGTTTGATTATTTACACAGTACAGTTTTTCAAGTACTCCTCCTTCTGCCCTTCCTAGGACCACACTGGAACTACTAAATCTGACTTTGTCATCCTTGTAAATCCCGTTGAGTAAATAAGTCATTTTCTGTAAACTTTGTGGTCTCGGCCTCCTTGTTAGTTTATTGCAAAATTAAAGGG